CGCCCACGCGGCTGTGGCGCCGCGTCACGCCGTGCGTCATGGCGGGGAGGAGGAGGCGGTGCCGCTGCGGGGCCAGCGGCGGGAGGGGGCCGCCCCGTGCCCCCGCCCACAGGAGGTGCGGCCCTGAGGCGGGAGCGTTGCCGGGCTGTGCTGGCAGCGGCCCCTTTCTTTCCCCTCACCCAAGCCGTTACGGCACCGGCTGCTCCGAGACACAGACCCCCGACACCGGGAGACAGGCTGTCGCAGCGGCTTTGCGCCGCAGCAAAGCGGGCCCTGCCCGCGGTGGAAACCCCTGCTGCCGCCCCTCAGCGGCGGCACGGGCACCGCTCAGCCCAGGCCAGGGCTGGGTGGGCTCTGGGCCGGCCTTGCTGCCGCCCTTCCCGCGCCCCGGAGAGGGGTGGGTGGGTGTGTGTGTGTGTGTGTGTGTCCCGCCGCGCCACAGCCCCGCGATCGCTCCCCTCAGCCCCCGCCGCGGCCTGTCCGGTTCCCGTGCTAACAGCCGGGCCGGCACCGCCCTGCGCCGCGGTACTTCCTGCCGCCGCCCCGGAGGAGGCGGGACCGGCCCGGAGCGCGGCGGTAGGTGGGGGGGGATCTGATGGCGGGTCGGCGGCCTGGGCATCGCCGCGGGCGGGGTAGGCGGCGGCCTGGCCTGGTCTGGTCAGGTCCCTATGTGTTCTCTCCTTGTGGTGGTTTCCCCAGGTCCGTGTCTCCCTGGAATGGCGGTGTGCCCCACGAAGGTGCACTGCCTACCGAGTAGCCCTGGGACCCCTGTGAGGCTGTGGGGAGCTGTGGCCTCCAGGCGCTTGGGGGATTTCACTAAGGGGGAGGATGGGGGAATAAAGGAAGCAGCCCCAAATTCTGCTCCCTACAGCAGCGAGCTGGCCGGCTCCTTGCTCGTGTGGAGAAAAGAGGTTTGTAAGTTAAATTTTGCGATGAATTTGTAGCTGGGAAAAATATTGAAACCATTACACCTCGAGTACTGTGTGCAGTTTTGGGCCCCTTACCACAAGAAAGACATTGAGGGGCTGGAGCGAGTCTAGAGAAGGGCAACAAGATGGTGAAGGGTCTGGAGAACAAGTCTCATGAGGAGCAGCTGGGGGTGTTCAGCCTGGAGAAAAGGAGGCTGAGGGGAGACCTTCTTGTTCTCTCCAACTCCCTGAAAGGAGGGTGTAGTGAGGTGGGGGTCAGTCTCTTCTCCCAAGTCACAGGCAACAGGACAAGAGGAAATGGCCTCAAGTTGCACCAGGAGAGGTTCAGGTTGGATATTAGGAAAAATTTTTACACTGGAAGGGTTGTTAAGCCTTGGAATGGGCTGCCCAGGGAGGTGGTTGAGGCACCATCCCTGGAGGTGTTCAAAAGACGGGTTGATGTAGTGCTGGGAGGTATGGTTTAGTGACGGTTTTTTGTCAGAGTTAGGTTGACGGTTGGACTAGAAGATCTTGAAGGTCCCTTCCAACCTGGATGATTCTATGATTAAGCAAGCCTTCAACTAGTGTGATCAAGTGGAGATTTACTGTATGTTTTTTAGAGTTAACAGAAAGCTCTGAGCTCTGATAACTCGTGTGGGAGAGCGGGGAAAAGAGGTTTGAAAGTTAAATCTTCTTTGGCGTCTCTGAGTGCTGGCTACATTTGTCTGCCCATGGTGCTTATGTACACAGGTAGATCAAAGCCCTGGTCCAGCATCGCCTCCCTGGCAGAAGCTCCCAACAGAGGCACAGGGAGATCCATATGGAGATGGCAAGCAGGAGGTGATGCTCCCTCAGGGGCTCTCTTCTGAAGTCCGTCAAGCCTTTTCTGGGGCAAGGTGTATGGCACAGCAGGTTTGGGGAAAAAAAAAAAAAGGTTTTGAACCTGCCTCCTGCTAGTTCTGTTTGAAGTCTAACTCTTGTATTTGAAGAGGCACTAGACAGTCTCCCTCATCAGCCTTTCTGCCTGCCACGTCTGAATTAAAAGCTTTTATCCTATCCCCCCTCAACTATGTTTCCCAGCCTGGGAGATTGCAAACTGTTTAATCTTTACTTACTTACTAGCTATAGGTCATCGCCTTTCCCTGAACCTTTCTGAGCCACATTGTCTCTTTTCTGAGGTAAGGGGCACTGGAAGGGCAGAAGTACAGCACTGAAGCTGCAGGTTGTGTGGGAGTGCTCTGAACCTCCAGTTGCGTGATAATAAAATTTCCAGGCTGCTTACAATAGTTTTATTCTTTTAACTGCTCTGTTTGACTGAGGAATCGCTTCTCATTTATGTATTGTTCCTCTCCCTGAACTAAGCACAACGATAGTGGGTTTCTTGTAATTGTCACTTGAATGCATGCATTGAGTCCACGTGCCTTTGGGTTGCTGTGACAGAGCAGCTCTTCTGCAGTAACGTTTCATACCAGCCCTATGAAGTAGTCAGGGTCAAGTCTTAACTTCTGCTACCTGTTCCTTGACTTCCTAGGAGTGTTCGTTAACTGAGGTTAAAAGCTCAGATGTGGCATCATGCTTCTGGAGAGCTGCCGGGCAGAAAAGGACCTGGGGGTGTTGGTCAACTGTCGGCTGAACATGAGCCAGCAGTGTGCCCAGGTGGCCAAGAAAGCCAACAGCATCCTGGCCTGTGTCAGGAACAGCGTGGGGAGTAGGGCCCGAGAGGTGATTGTCCCCCTGTACTCGGCACTGGTGAGGCCTCCCCTTGAGTACTGTGTCCAGTTTTGGGCCCCCTACCATAAAAAAGCCATTGAGGTGCTGGAGCGGGTCCAGAGAAGGGCGACAAAGACGGTGAGGGGTCTGGAGAATAAGTCTTATGAGGAGAGGCTGAGGGAGCTGGGGTTATTCAGCCTGGAGCCGAGGAGGCTGAGGGGAGACCTTATTGCTCTCTACACCTCCCTGAAAGGAGGGTGTAGAGAGATGGGGGTCGGTCTCTTCTCCCAAGTCACAGGTGACAGGACAAGAGGAAATGGCCTCAAGTTGCGCCAGGGGAGGTTCAGGCTGGATATTAGGAAAAATTTTTTCACTGAAAGGGTCATCAGACATTGGAAGGGGCTGCCCAGGGAGGTGGTTGAGGCCCCATCCCTGGAGGTGTTCAAAAGACGGGTTGATGTAGTGCTGGGGGGTATGGTTTAGTGATGATGCTCCTTGTTTGTTGTGTGGGTGTCTATTTTTGTCAAAATTAGGTTGACGGTTGGACAAGATGATCTTTAAGGTCCCTTCCAACCTAGAAGATTCTGTGATTCTGTGACATCTATCTTATCTACGTAGGGAGAAGTGAAATCTCCTATTGTATTCTTGTTTTTCTGTTAGCCCTCATTATATTGCAGGCATTGTAATATACTTGCCATCCTGCTTAGAAGGATGGTGGTTTCTAACTCATTAAAACTTTTCTATTTTGGTATGAAATTTCAAACCATACTTGTTGACATAGTTGTCATGTTAATTTGTATCACGGGTCTAACGCTTTCCTTTTATAACACATTTAGGGAACTTCACTGCAGCTCTGTCCTTTGTGCGTAGTGGTTTTGACCAATAGTTTTCTATTTTGACAACTTAGTAGCTCATGTTTCTACCTCATTTATAAAATATGACTGTATGCTACCATGAAACAAGTCCTGTTGCCAGCATGCTGCCAGATCAGTGGTTGTTTTTTCCATGAAGAAGTAACTGTAATTGTGAGGTCACCTCAGTTGTTCTGTGGGATTCTACGGTTATCATAAAATACCCATTTAATGTCCTAAAAAGCTGCCTTCTGTGGTGGGTTGACCCTGGCTGGACACCAGGTGTGTCTCTGTCACTCCCCTCCTGGGCGGACAGAGGAGGGAAAATAGGACGCAAGGCCCGTGGGTCAGAATAAGGACAGGGAGGGATCATTCAGCAATTACCATCACAGGTGAAACAGACTTGACTTGGGGAAAATTAATTTAATTTATTGCCAATCTGATCAGAGTAGGGTAATGCAAAATAAAAACTAAATTGTAAAACACCTTGCACCCACCCCTCCCGTCTTCCCAGGCTCAACTTCATTCCTGATTTTTTCTATCTTCTCCCCCAGCGTGGTGCAGTGGGATAGGGAATTGGAGTTATGGTCTGTTCATCACGTGTTATCTTGGCTGCTCCTTCCTGCTCAGGGGAAGGACTCTTCACACTCCTCGCCTTCTCCAGCATGGGGTCCCTCCATGAACTTCTCCAGTGTGACTCCTTCCCATGGGCTACAGTTCTTCATGAACTGCTCCAGCCTGGGTTCAGCGTGGGTCCCCCATGGGGTCACAAGTCTTGCCAGCAAACCTGTTCCAGCATGGGCTCCTATCTCCATGGGGCCACAGGTCCTGCCAGAAGCCTGCTCCAGCATAGGCTCTCCATGGAGTCACAGCCTCCTTCAGGTGCATCCACCTGCTCCAGCATGGGGTCTTCCATGGAGTGGATATCTGCTCCACCGTTAACCTCCATGGGCTGCAAGGGGACAGCCTACTTCAGCATGGTCTTTGCCATGGGCTGCAGGGGAATCTCTGCTCTGGCAGAGAGCACTTCCTCCTCCTCCTCCATTGACCTTGGTGTCTGCAAAGTGGTTGCTCTCATATTCTTGCTCCTCTCTCCGACTGCAATTGCTGTTGTGCAGCAGCTTTTTCTCTTCTTAAATATGTTATACCAGATGTGCTACTGCCGTTGGCCTTGGCCAGAAGCGGGTCCTTCTTGGAGCTGGCTGGCATTGGCTCTGTTGGACATGGGGGAAGCTTCTAGCAGCTTCTCACAGAAGCCACCCCTGTAGCCCCTCTGCTACCAAAACCTTGCCACTCAAATGCCATACACCTTCATAATGTTAATACCAAAGTAATGTGTAGAGCTCATTTATAAATAACACATATTTCTACCAGTTTTCAAACGCCTGCTTAAGTCTATTCAGGTTTTCAACTCTTAAAAAAAATTCACAAGCGTGGGATTTTTTAAATGCTAGTTTATGAGGCTTCTGAAGAAAAAACTTTCCAAATGTGAGCCATATGGGGGGGAGTTGGTGATTTTTTTTTGTGTTGGTTTTTAATTCTTTTCTTCCCGTAATATAGGCATCCTAGGACAACAGCTAAGAGGCTTGATACATCCCATTATCGGAAAAGTAAAAACTGAACTTTGGTAATTTCAGTTGTAATATGAACTACTGTAGTACTATTAGATTTAGTAGGAATGTTGAGGGAAATTCTTTTGGGCAGTTTGTTAAATTCTAAAAAGAAGTTCATTAATTCGGTTACGGTTTCTTTCAAAGGCTGCTAATGTTGGGAATAAGACTTTGAAACTCCTATCCATGAAACTGAAATTTTTCTTTGTCTGGGCTCATAAGTTGAGTCTGAAAAAGATAACGTTCTTCTCACATTAAAACTTCAGCTGAATCTGACATATCAAAAAAAGCTATTTTGAGGGGTTTTGTATGGCAGAAGTGTCAAATAGCCTCTTATTAAAATAGAACGAATACCAGACTTTCCGATATATGTTCTGCAAGTATCTTTAATACAATGAAACTGTAGTATTTTAGTATTCAGATTTCCTTGTTGTGGATGGAATAAACCTCGTGGGAGGGTGGATGGGGAAGGTTCTCACTTTCCCTCCGTTCAGGTTGGTGTCAACAGACTATCAAATTTTTAGGAAGTCTCGTTTCAGACTGAAGTGTATATAATCTTTCAAAATCCAGGCAATATAGGGGTGGAGAGATACAATTTGGGAAGAGGACTGTATTTTATTACCTACAGAGGAAAATTAACAGAAAATAATAAGGAAGAATAAAAGCTCCCTTGGGGCATAGTAGGGACTTTATAGCTGGGCTTTGCAGAAGGAATTAAAGCAACATCTGGAAATTTCCTGTACTTTTTAAGCATGTCATCTTTCCCCAGACAGCTTGAAGAGTCTCAGTAAGGATCAGCAGAGCTACTGTTGCGTTAATGCTTCACTAGTCCTACTGTGAATTAAACATGGACTCAAGAGAAAGGTGTTACTTACAGTCCTTTAATTTTTTAAGTATATATGGAAAAAATAAAAATCATTGTTCACAGTCATGCATGTGTCCCCCCGTTATGAAGTTTGGATAATTTGAACTATGGAGGAAACCTAAGAAGTTAAGCTTGAGGAAAAGAAACCTGAGAGGGAAAAATTAGAAGATTATCTCTAAAAATGAACAGATATGATGATGTCATGGAATAAGAATCAAAGCTAAATCCTGTGAGGAGTCTGTGAGTGAATTCTAGGACTTAAGCAGCAAGTTGTCCCCAAGGACACCTAGGGGAACTTGACCTTTGTGAGTGAATTCTAGGACTTAAGCAGCACGTTGTCCCCAAGGACACCTAGGGGAACTTGAATGGAACAGGATTTAGACATGTTGATGCTTTCTTCACATTTCAAACACTGCTAGAGTAGCCTGGGAAGGTATGGCGGGGAAGGATGTCACAGCAGGGAAACCAGGAGCCTTATGTTGCGAAAGAGTGAAGTAGAGAAATATTTATTAATATAAAACGGTGATTTAACAAAGTTGGTAGTGAATGTGACAGTGTTTTAAGAGCTGCACAGCCAGGTACACTTGGTTATTTACTGCAGAGGGGACAGGGTGAGAGAAGCTGTCAGGGAGACCCTCCCGTTGAGGGTGCAGGAGAGCTCAAAGGGCTCTGTCCACTATTTATAGAGTAAGATAATTGACCTATAGTCATATTTGCATGGGAACAAAACACCTAGGTCCCCACTCCAGACGGCGTTTGGCTGCGTTGCCAGCCGTCCCCCAAAACCCATCACAGCTCCCACTGATGGTTATGGCTTGAGCAGGAGCTGGGGGGGGTGAGGGGGAGAGCACACCGCCACATCCTATTGTAAGGGGACTGCAAATGGTCAGCATGTTAATGAACGTATTGTGAAATGTAATTAACAGTTACACTGTTAGAGTTGCATGATGAGCAATATTTGGAATTTTGAGTACAGTAAAAACAACCACTAAGAAAATATTTTGTTTGTTTCAGTTCTTTACCAGCAGATTTTAAAAACTGAAGGAAGATGTCTTTTTTCCCCAAAATCTCTTTCCAACGTGAAGTTGAAGAGTATCTCACCAACGTGTTCAGAAATAATGAGGTATGTGAATTAGATACTACTCATTATCAATAAATATTCATTTATCGAACACTGTTAATATTCCTTTGATTTAATATTTTGTCCAGCTTTAATACCTTAGAATAAGTTATTGTCTTTACATTAGACACAGATTTTAATATATAGTTCTATGGAAAATATAAAATTATTCTTCAGGCCTGTTGGCTCAAAATAACATAAAAACATTTAAACTAAAGTTAGCATAAATCTGAGAGTTCATTTTTGGATCCCAATGAAGCACGATCACATAGAAAATTAACCACTTATTACCTATGTAATGTCAAAAGACACAAAAATTATGTTTTTGTATGTGGAGATAAACGTTATTAATTCTTAGTTTTGAATCTACTCTTCCATCTCCTTAGGACTGTTCTCTGTGCAGTATGACAGAGCTCGCTAGCAGTTACATTTGGTACTTGCTACAGCCTGTTTCCAATGATCTTGCTAATCTGACTATTTTTCCAACAAGTCCTTTTCAAGAAATTTATGAGGTTTTCACTGGAATTAGGCCACCAGCCATAGACGTTCCTCACATCGCACACCACACGACTGTATTCCTCCATTTCTACAGAATGTTTATTCAGTGGGGTGGTTTTTTTTTGCACTGAGCAAGAGGTTGCCGTGTGAATTTCTTTTAATATTTATTTTAAAATCTCTTCTTTCACTTTCAGCTTATCACTGCTTTAGGTACACAGGAGGTAGAGAGAAAATATCAATCTCTGTTAAGTCATCTGTCTCATCCACCATCTTTCACAACTGTTAGAGTTAATACCCACTTGGCCTCAGTGAAACATGTGAAAAAAATGCTGTTTGAAGAAATCCAGAAGGTTTGTGCTTTTTTTTTTTTTTTTTTTTTGTTACAGCAAAAGTAGCAGGATATTTCATCTTTTGCCTGATTATGAGAGCTTTTCATTACTGGAAACTATTCCTTAAGTTAATATGCGTCCATTAGTATTAACATTATGCAATCATATTGATTTCCTGTCAGCATTAACAGTTAAATCAAAATTCATTGTCTAGCAGTATTCCTTATCTAATACATCCAAGAAAGGCAACAGCAGAAGAGAAAAGACTATTAACTCTTTTAAATGGCAGATCCAGACCTTAGAGGGGATTGGGGTACTACTGTAGTAAATATTGTACCAGCATTGGAAGTTGAGAGAAGAGGGTAGAAATAGATAAAAACTGTAGTTCAGTATGCTGTGTTCAGCATATTTAGAACATTTTTATTTAATCTTAAAGGAGAATATATGTCTCGTTGCACAAACTTTAGGGAAATGAGAAAATTTGTATGTTTTAGAAACTGGAGCCAGAGTGATGCCCTGCAGCCGCTGTATTTTTTTTTTTAACCTGTTTAATCTTTACATATTTTTTTTTATTTTTACTTACCTTAATTAAACATTTATTTATCTGATAATGCATTAGCATTTATGTTTAAGAAGTAGATTATTTTAAAACTCCATCCTAGATCTTCATTCTGTCTAAAAAGCTCCAGTCCTCCTTTAGGTAAATTATTAATGGCAGTGGGTGTACAGGGAGCTATTGCATGAGAGGAGCCAAGACATTTCTGGGATGCAGAGGCAGTTGACAGTATTCTGTTGGCTGGAATGGTAATGAGTTATGCTGCTTTTAGCTTGATTGTAGAAATCTGGAAATGGGTATTGCAGCATGATATTTTGCTTCAAGGAAAATGCTTCGCTGAAAAATTAATTAAGACTGGCTTTTCATAAAATTTTGTATTTTTAATTGTGGTCAAATTAGAAAAGGAAACTACACAGCAGTTTTTAACAAAAATTTACTCACTGGTTGTTTTCCTTCTTCAAAGAGAATGCTTCTTTGTCAGATGGAAACCAATTTATGGTATTGCATGTTTTAGGGTTATATTTTAGAAGGTTCAGGCAAGAAAGCATTGTCTTTTCAAAGTCCAGGAGCAGTTCTAAAATGGCAAGCTGTCGTTTTCTTCAACTGTCTGCACAACTCAGCTCTCAGTACCCAATCCAAAGTTAAGATTTGAAAACTAAAATGAAAAGGGTTACCAACTTGGCGTATTAAGTAAGGCAAGCAACACATGAGTAGAGTTAAACAGTGGTTTATAATTAATAACATCAAAATAATAACACAGATTAGCCCCAGGCTTCTCTGGTGGTGTTACTGTGATCTGATGACAACTCAACACAACCTTCTTCCAGAATAAAGCAGGCAGGCAGGCAATACATGAATAAACAGTGGTTTATAATTAATAACATCAAAATAATAACACAGATTAGCCCCAGGCTTCTCTGGTGGTGTTACTGTGATCTGATGACAACTCAACACAACCTTCTTCCAGAATAAAGCAAAAACTAGTGGTAGGGTTATGAGTGTTGGAACACTGTCCCACTCCCTGAAGTCAGTTCTCAGTGAATCCCTTTGTGGCCTTGTTATTTCTCAATTTATTACATGTTTGGTTTTTTACACTAGTGTTTTTAATGTGGAGTATCTCCTTACTCCCTCTTTCCAAATCTCTCTTAACTGGTTTTACAGCTTTCATTTTTGTACTCTACTGCTATAAATTGTGAGTGGAGAAATAGTTTTCAGTCTAATTAAATGCTTACATATTAGGGTTTTTTTTAGTATTGCTTAATAATTATGTTTTTTAATGAAACAGCAATTTAAAGGACTATGTGTTCCAGTTCTTGAGCACCCGAAACTCCAGGACATCTTATTAATTCCTGTCATTGGACCCAGGTTTGAAATTTTTGGTTTCTAACCTTAAAATGTCATAACACATATTTTACTTATAAATTTCTTGTTAAACAGTTACGATAACTAACTTGCTATAAATGAAGCACAACTTTGTTTATATTAAGACGTAGTGGGCAGTCCATATCCTAACCAGGTCAGAGTTTTAGTCCTTAAAAGATGCAAGAAAACATAGAGTTCTTTCCTTATTTATGAGATTAGCTTTTATAGGGAAAATACCTCCTCTCTGGAAAGCCAGGTAGGTGGCAAACAGAAGAACTAAAGTTTTGCGGTGGAATATAGAACTAGAGGGTAAAATAGCTAAATATAGGCAGTCTTTTCTTCCACTGGAATCAAGTCCACAGCTAAACTTAGGGAGACTGGATCCATAATGCTGAGAGGATTCCTGAATCAATTTTATCTCCTACAAAACGCCTATTTGTTCTTCATTCTTAAGATATATTTGGGTATTTCCCATGTTGCATCTGTGTCTGCCCCTATGGAGTTTCTTCATTATTTTATTGAATTCACCGATGAACATTTTATTTAAAGTATCTTGTTTATTGAAGACTAACATACTTCAGATTCAGTTTTTAGCAAAAAGTAGAGTGTAAATGCTTTGCACTCTAAAATAGCATTTATTGCTTTTATTTTTTCTTTGTTCACATTTAATTCTCTTTTGTAGCATCTTTTTCTGGACATTCCATTCTTTTTATATTCAAATATATTTACACTTTAATAAGTTGAAGTAACTGTCTTCACAATTTTTACTGGCAGAGGTCCTTGGAACTCTTTACACATTTATTATAGAAGTACTTAGCAGTTGTTAAACACAAAAAGGCCACTTTGCAATCATATGGCCTAGGAAGGGATAGAGGCTTATTTCTCCATCCCAATATAATTTATTTGTATTCCTGTGTCAGGTTCATAGCAGTGCTGGAATGTATCACAATCTGCTTTATTTAGGGCACCTGTTTTCATTCTTGGCTCTTTCCTTTGCTTCCCCTGGGACTAAAATAATTTTTTAAAATGTAATACACAATAGTAATTGTATGTAAATGTAATACACACTGACAAAAACAGTATTTCTGAACTAGTGTTTACTTGGGTTCTTTTATTTTTTTTTAATTGGACTACATTTTGTATTTTTAGGCAAGATTTAAAAAAACATGCGTCTGAAGTAATTGTTGGAGCCCACTGTGGATACGCAGTGCTTCGAGGAGCACACGTTTATGTCCCTGGAATCATATCGACCTCAAGATGTAAGAGTTCTCTAAATGCATCCAGTTAAGTTGTAAAGAGGAAGGAAAAAAATGCCACCCCTTGATGACAATTTCCAATAATTAGTGACATTATTTTTTTTTTCTCCTATTCACAGCTGAAATTAATCTTATATTTTTAAGTTATGGTAAATATTTTTTTGAAGTTTTTCTGGCTTTTTCTTAAGATTTTCAGTATTTTTGCTTTATACTTGTAATAAATTATATGTAGTTATTTTTCACCTGGCATGTTTTAAGTTCATTTTTCTATATGTAATTCTTAGCTGAAGTATTAATTCTCAAGGATTTTGAATTCATGTTTTCATTTGAAAACCTTTTAAAGAGCAGGTTCAAATTAAAACCTGGCATTTTGAAAGTTTTTTTACTACTGAATACTGTAACTTTTATGGATGTTCAGTAGAATAAACTCACAGAAGTTTTACAGCATTCCAGTCTTTAAAAAAAAAAATAAAAAAGAGAAAAGAGGAATGTCTGAAGAGAGACATCTGGATGATAACTGGATGTATGTTGGTTATTTTAGAGATGCTCTTGCCAGATATGCTATTTCTTCACGCAGTCACAAAGGCACTTGCTTTCATAATCCTGTCAGTTTCTACGTTACAGGTCTAAAGAAAAAAAACCACAACTTTTTTTTTTTAATCAATTGGTGATTCATTTGATATTGTTTGATTACAGGTCTAAAGAAAAAAAAACACAACTTTTTTTTCAATCAATTGGTGATTCATTTGATATTGTTTGTGTATGAGATCTAGTAAAAATTTGTGGGTTTTTTTTTTCTGTTGGTGAGAAAAATCGTCAATTTTAATGTCAGATGGTTAAGAAATAGAAATTTTTGTTTAATGCCTGTGAGACAAGATAAAAAAATCTACATATACGTGCTTAGTGTTCAGCAGCCTATTTATTTTTTATTGAAAGGTCAAATTAACTTTATGTGAAACCAGCATAATTTTGGATGATTCACCTCATTATTCTATTGCAATGAGATCTACTAATCATCATGGTTCTTATTATTAAACAAAGGGAGCGAGGAAAGCATTTATCTAGCCACTTAACTTCATTCCCTTTCAGGAAAAAACCTTCAAGAAGTTTTAAGCATGTGCTTAAGTCAAATTCACTGAACAGGAATGTTTTTCAATCTGGGACTTGATAATGAAATAAGTATATTGCCGTAGCCGTTGTTGAAACTGCTTATTTAGACAGCCTCATAAATATTCAAATCCCTCTTTGAGTCAACTAGTGATTTATCATAATTGTTGCGTGTAATTATCCATGCAACATCAATTCAAAGAAAAGAAAAGATACTATAAAACTTTAGGAACACTTCAGGGGAATTGCAGATAGGAAAATAAAACAAAAAGGCATGCTACCCACTTGAGGGCAAATAGAATAAGGCTCTATTAAGCACAGATGGTATAACTAAGGAAAAAAAAGAGTATAGCAAGAACAGGCATTTAATCACTGAACTTGCAACCCAGATGAGGGTAAACTAATTATCAGGGGGCTTTGAGTTTAATTTAACTAATCAGACTCTAAGCTTTATGTTTATGGATTGCCAGTGTAAGCTGCAAAAAGCTTAAGAACTGTACACAATACTAATGCATTTTGAAAGGATAATTATCAGCAGAGAGTGAAATAAAATCCCTTATGTTTGAATACTGCAGAAAATATGCTGCAAATATGCTTGATGGAAGAGTTAAAGTTTTTGTTGAGTGAAGTTTAAGCAGCCAGTAACAGTAGACTATCACGTGATGTTTTGTGTACGTTGAGTAGAAGAAGTTATGCAAAAAAATAAATGTCTAGTGGCTACCCAACAAATATTACTGTTTAGGAATTCCGAGGTATTTGTGAATATTCAGAAGGCCACTTGAAAATGGAAAGAAAGATTCCTAAATAGAATTCAAAGAATTCTTTGGAAGTTGAACTGTCATTGATCTTACTTCTTGTATCTTCTGGTTGCACCAGCCAGTCAGTCACATCAGAAATGTAATTTTAAAAAATTGTTTAGTTCTGTCAGTGGAGGCCTTTATATTTAAACATGTTTTTCAGCCAGTCAGTGCATAGAGCTTGTTTGCTCTTTTGCAAAGTCACCTAAAGCATCCCACTTTTCCATCTATTTTTGTTCCAGCTCAGAAAGTTTTAAGTCCCTAGGACTACACTTGTAGGGTAGTTGTATGTTTACATACTTTACTGATCTGGAGGGTCTAAATTGGAGAGGTAAAACTCCTTCTAAAAGAGTTTTGAGAACAGCGGTTACCTTAGAGGGAAAAGAGCCACACCAGAAAATTTGTTTAAATAAGAATATATAATCACTTGTACGAAAACAGTAGTTTGAGAAAAAGGAGCTATAGTTATGTTCTACCTGGCTATTGAGAGGCCGTTAGAAAAATTTAGTATTGTTGTCTTTGTACAGTAAGTGTGAACCAGTGTTGTTTGATGTACTTGTGTGCTTGGAGCACACACACAGGACTGAATCCTGAAGTGTGCTTAAAACTTATGGGTGACCCTGTGGGGATAAAATAAAGAAGGTGAAAAATTGTCCAGCCTGTTAGGAAGCAAGGCCCACTGTCTGATTTGTAACCTTGTCTCTTAATAGCTCTAGACACTTGGTAGCCATCGTTCACCATGGACACTTTAAAGCCTAAGAGTTAATATTTTTCTTTGATTACATCAAGAAAGTTCAAGTTTTGCTATGATACAGGAGTTGAAGTAATAGTCTACTGAAAATTCTGAATTGTTTAGTATCACTACTGTCTTGTCAAGTATCAGTTGAAGTAATAGTCTGTTTAGTATCACTACTGTCTTGTCAAGTATAATATTAATCTCAAAATTTCCGTTCTTGTTTGCACAGTTATGAAAGCTGGAGATCTGGTCTCAGTGTATTCAGATATTGAAGGGAAGTGTAAAAGAGGAGCCAAAGAATTTGAAGGAGTCAAAGTTTTCCTTGGAAATGGGATTTCAGAACTGAGTCGCAGTGAAATCTTTAATTCCAGTGGCCCATTGAAGTAAGTCTATAGTAACTGCAATTGACACCTACAACTTTGCAAAGGGAAGGAAGAAGATGGGAAGACATTTTGGAATGTTCTCTCCCCAATGTGAAACCACAAGGCGGCTTTCACTGAGACCTGTGTTGTGTGATGGGAGTTTAAGTATTTTTTGGGAAGTGTTAGTTTCTGGGAGTACAATAGAATCGTGCCTCCTGCTGTCTTCTGTAACTTCACAACTAAGGGAGCAGCAATGTGATGGCAATTATGATTCAAGTACTACAGTAAGGATTAGTAGAGTCAACATTTAGTTTCATAGTGGTATCCAGATACCAGTTTACTTGAGAGGCAGGAGGAAATAAATGGGAGCCTTTTCAGAATTTATGTTTAGCGTATGACTTCTATAATATAAAACAAATAGAGCGACAAACATTCTCACCATTGCAGAACAGCATTTTGGTAAATTGTTCTGTACCACTTTCCCATTTGGATGGAACCAAAATGCAGCCTTTTTGATTTCTCCATCTCCTAAGAATATAGGTGCTCTTTGGTGGGGCAGGGGACAGAACATAAGGTCAAATATCTACAAAAAATTAATAGCATTTGCCAAGGTAGTTATCTATTTCAAGATTACGTGCTTTTCTATTTTTTTGCCAAAAGATATGAGTTGTTCTTCTTCTGTCATCTAAAACACATGTAAAAAGCAGTGTAGAAGAGCATGGACATCAAATTAATGAGTGAGACCTTACATGCCAAGAACAAGCTACAAAATATCTAGTAAAAAAGTTCACATTGTCAGAGGATTTCTGATTTATGAAAGCTTAAATAGTAGAAGTAGTGGTAGGATATGCCTGTTGAGTTGATGAATGGAATGGCAGTATGTAACACTAAATCTGGTGCCTGCAAGTTTGTTTCCTCATATCCTTCCTCCTCCTTGTTGGACTGAGTGGATATGCAAAATAATACTCATTCTTGTTATCTTCAGTAATCAATTGTTTTCAGGCTCAGTATTATTTTTTTCTTGTTTTTCTTTTTCTTGTTGTCCATTTCTTTATACGCTTGTCATAATGAAATCTGTGTCAGAACTTCATCCATATTTAAAACTTTTAGGTTGCTTCTAAGTTCAAACCTTTGCTTTGCAGGCAAATCACTGTTCCTTTAAGACTTTTGAAATAGAATTTCTTTAGTTGTTTGACTGAAATCTGAGACAGCCTAGAAAAATGGAGAGAAGATCTAAGAAGGAAATCATATGTCAGTGCCCTAGTGCATACGTGGCTAGCCAAAAGCAGTTATGGATTGAAATTAACCTATTTGGGGTTTTTTTGTGAGCATTTCTTTACATTATCAAGGTTTGGATTAGATCTCAGTTGGTACATTTCAGGGGTTTTTTTTTCCTGCATTTCTTTACGTTATCAAGGTTTGGATTAGATCTCAGTTGGTCTTGTGTACAAAAAAGGTAAATTTGCTTTATGCAATTTTTACAGATAGTTTCAATTTATAATGTAGTACATTTTTTGTTACAGTTAACCCAAGATAATGATGTAATTTTAAAGAATATCAGATTACAAAATTGTAAAAGTATTTTTCTTGTTACGGTTAACCCAAGTTAATGATGTAATTTTAAAGAATGTCAGATTACAAAATTGTAAAAGTATTTTTCTTAGTTGATTTATATGTGCTTTAATTTCTGTACAATTATTGTTTCAAGTTTCTATTTGTAAGCATGCTGATTTTAATTGAATACTGTTAAAAATTATAAATCTGAGTAGTTAAAATATTCTTTTCCTGTTTTTCAGTGGGATGGGCGTAAGAATGATAGAGCCAGTCTACCTTAGTCCTTCCTTTGACAATGTGCTCCCTAGTCATTTGTTTTTACAGGTATGCTTATTACAAAAATAAAAGCTGGTATTATTTGCTGAATAATTAATATCCTCTAAGCACAAATTAAGACTTTATTTATTCATTGTGCATTATGGCACCTGAGTCACTCATTTGATTTAAAGAAAATAGAATATTTAGAATGAAATCAGTACCTACATGTAGATGGTTTAATCATACTGCATCTGAGATGTCATAAGGGACTTCAAAATGAGTTACAATGACTTTTAAGTGACTTCATTTTAAAATGTAGAAATTCTTTTTACACAGATACTCTGCATAGAACTTCTAGTTTTTGGAATCTGTGTATGAACTCTGGAATGTGAGCCTCTTTCAGGCTATACTCTTCTGTAGATAAACAGGAAAATCTCCAAATATTTGGTTGTCTTCAGGTTGAAGAGAAAATTCGTATCTTTTTAGCCCGAATGAAAAAAATCCACCTCAACAAAATAACCATGAAAAATCTTACAGTAGCACAGCTTTCACTCTCTCTTACCATAAGTCTGCACAGCTTCCAAATAATGACAAACTTTTTTGTAGTTTTTATTGTAAAACTTAAGAATTTATTTCAAGCTAGCTTTTCCTTTTGCATCTTTAATATTTGTCATACCTATACTCCTTTTCCCTCCCAATAAAAATAATTAAAAACAATACTCAGATATGTCAACTGGGCACCTGTGCTATGCTGAAACATAGGGTGATGAAATCATGGAACTTTCTAGTTTTCTAAGATCAGGTGAAATTCTTGATTTCAGCTGACATAAAGTAAGTTTAGGTGAACACCTTAGTTAGATTTCTGAGACAATTAGTGTGCCAACAACGGTATTGCATTTTTTTGTATTTAAATTGAAGATTTAGCAGCTGGGTTTAAAGCAAAATCAAGCTGTCCAGCCTTCAAAAAAAAAAAAAAGGGTTATTTTAATCTTTAAAGCAAATGTAAATTTTATCTCAAATAAGCCCATGTTCAGAGATATTATCTGAAATTATAAGTTATCTCCTAATTTGATTTTTGTAACTATCACTCAGTAAGGTAAGTCCTTTATTACAGTGAATTGTCTTAGTCATTATCTCTTTTGTCAGAAGAATCAGACCAGCAGATGAGTTATTTTTTTGCATATATTCTGTTTGGAATTGATGTTAATATTTGAAGATCAGCCTCAGTGCTGTCTTCCAGCGTGAGCAGAGGTAGGTTATCAAGCAGTATATTTTCTCATGGCCTGCAGTAAAGGAGAGGCCCTTTCTTCCCCTCTTCAGCTTTTCAGAGTACTTTCTTTCAAGGAACAGAATTGTTAGAGACACAGGTTATTTAAGAGGCTGGTGCACATGAGAATTTAGAGCATATTCAACTTTTTGTCCATGAGGATCCCAGGGGCTGTCTTTGCAAAGCTGCCTTCCAGGCAGGCAGCCCCAGCCTGTGTTGGTGCGGGGGGTGCCCCAGGAGCAGGAGTTAGCAGTTCTCTCTGTTGAGCTTCATGACACTTCTGTTTTTCCCATTTCTCCAGCATGTCGAGGTCCCTCTGAATAGAAGCACAACCTTCCAGTTTATCAACCCCTCTTTCCAGTTTCATATCTTCTGTAAACTTGTTTAGGGTGCCCTCTGTTCTATTAGCCAGGTCCTTATGGATAATAAGAGGTTAGGCAATATTGGCGCCAATGCCCCCCCTGGGATACACCACTATTGACTGACCTCCAGCTGGACTTCGTGCTGGACTGATCATAATCCTTTGAGCCTGGCTTTTTTGACTTGAATTTGCCATGTGTGAGATGAATCATTGTTCATTTTTTTTAACACTGTGGCATGGAACTTGAAACTCTGCTAACCAAAGACAACGTGTAGTACAGACAGTTTAAAGAAGTTTTTATACCTTTGTGTTGAACCAAGTTAGAAGAGAATCTTTCAGAATATTTCCATCTTGTGTAAGCTGCAATGCTGTGCACAGTTATTGCATATTATTTCTCTTCAGTGCATCTGTTCTGTTTATGCAATTAATAGTGCAGTTCAGTTTCTTGGTACCTTAATTCAGCAAGTTGAAACTCCTGCCTATTGATCTTACTGTTTGTTATTATACTATGCCACTATGCCAGTATGTTCATATATAAGGACTCCAATAAAGACATCAATATAAAATATTTGTGATATACAGAGCTGCTCTGTGTTTGTGATAGTATCAGCTTATTTTATTTTGATGTTTAGCACTGTAGTCTCCATAGTCACAAACCCTTAAACTTCAGTCATAGATACTTATACATAACTTTACCTAAAAAAGGAGCCACTGGAGATTTTCTGACCTATACTTTCTCATTTATATAACCCCAATAGTTAGTTTTCTGTTCAGGAACTGGCAAGCACTATCATAGATATATTCTCTGCTGAGTGAATTATTGTTTTGACAAGTTTGTCATTCCTTAATACAGGACTTGTTACAGAACATAAATCTTGAATTCTCCCATATTTGTTTTTATGATAGAACTTGCCTTCTGTGGTTGTGAGCCATATTTTAAATCCTCAACCAGGAGAGAGAATTTTGGATATGTGTGCTGCACCTGGAGGAAAAACAACCCATCTTGCAACATTAATGCGTGACCAGGTAAGAGAAGGCATTGAGCCTTTCAGTCTTAGTGAAGAAAATCTTCACTGTTCATTGGCACAGCTCACTTCACTTTAGCTGTCAGAGTGCACAGATCATTTCCAACAATGAAAAATTAATATTTGAATGTTCTGCTTACCAATATATTTTGCTACATATCAGAGTTACTGAAATGGGCACAGACTTATCTTTATTAAACAGTCACCATCACGTTTAAAAAACTTATTTGCTGCAAATTGACCTTTTGAAATACATTTGATTTAAATTTTTAAATGTTACTGATTTATTTGTAATGGAAGGATTTGTAACATGTAAAGCAAAGTTACATAGGAATATGCTGGATTAATGAAACAGAGAATATATGGAAATCAGGGGTTACTGCTGTGTGCCAAAAGAATGCACAACTCTATACAAAAGCATAATAAAAATTTCCTAATCTAATTAACTTTCTTCTCAGTAAAAATTATCAATTATGGAGTGCAAATATAATCTTAGACTGTATTTCTAGTCTGTTGTTCTAAGGTAGGTCACAAAATCAAAAAATATCTCATTAGAAAGTAGCAATATGAAAAGAAACAAAAAATATTTAGAGAAAGACAAAGGAAAATAACACACAAGCCAAAGAGAATGTGGATATAGGAATAACAATGGGCATATATCAAATTGCTATATGCAGAATGAAAGACAGAAATGCAGGTTACTCTTTTTTAGTAGAAAGGGGAAAGAGATGTGATTTTTTTCCTCTACAAAATGTATAAGGCAGTATTATTTTCATTGGAATAGTGTGATTGGAATATAACAGATTATCTAGAAGTCTTGCAGTTACATGATGCAGTGCTTCAACAGTTGGCTGTGTGTTAGTGGGAAGGAGCAGTGAGGAATGATCTAGAACAGACAGGCAGGCAGCTCTGTGCCGGTTTGGTTATTGAAGCATTTGTTCCTTCAGTATGGAGAGTTAGCAAACAGGCATTGGACATCTACTGGACAGATTTATAGAGCTTCCAGTAAAGAATTTCAGCATGATAAATAATGGAAGTCTGCAAAAGCATATATTTCTGTTATGTATTTATTTACATCTATACTTTTTCCATCTATATATTTATGTTTTGTATAACTTTGTATAACTGTTTTTTCCCTTAGCCATTTTAGATAGTTTGATTTTTTGCTTACCAGCTGAAGTGGTAAAGATTAAGAATAGAGGTGTTGAAAATTGTCTGAATTCATTTTGCTTTTCTGAGTATATAATTTTAGTTTAAGACCCGGCAAAAAATACATGCTCCTTTAGTAAATCAGCACTGCTTTTTTATTCTTAAGTTCCATTCATAAATTTTCTGTACTAAATTTCCCTAGGCAGTGTATTAAATCATTAACATTTCAGAAACATTTGAATCAATCTTATATTTTTTTTTTTGGTGATTTAATTGTAAAAATTAATATATTGTTTTTGAATGAGATAAGTGAAATGTAAAATTGTTCTTTTAAATAGGAGCTGGGAATAGTTAAAACTTAGAATCATAGAGTTGCCCAGGCTGGAAGGGACCTCCAAAGGTCATCTGGTCCGACCTCCCCGCAGTCAGCAAAACTTGATAATTTATTATTCTCTGGACCTGGTCCCGACCACCATTGTTCTCCAGATGTCCTTCAGGAAGTTGTTGTGGCATGGGCCAGATGAGGGAAGAACTTTTGTCTTCCAGCTTGTTCGTTGTGCTCAGAGTCTCTCAGGAGAAGGACGTACACCCGCAGTAGAGCACATGTGCAGCACATCCCCTGTTTTAGCAACAGTCCTGAATTTTGAGTACGATCAGTTGTCAGTGTGCACGTGTTGGTGGCTGGAGAGCTGCCTGGGGGAAAAGGACCTGGGGTGCTGGTCAACAGCTGGCTGAGTATGAGCCAGCAACGTGCTCAGGTGGCCAAGGAGGCCAAGGGATAGTCCCTGAGTACAGGATAAATCCAAACAGACACACACCACGATATGCTAGATGAAATCTGTAAACACAAAGGAAAGAAAGATCAACACGGACAAGTGGAAGGTCTTGCTTCTAGGAAAACATAAGCCAGGAATTCCACAGGCTGGGATCGACCTGGCTGGGGAGCAACTCTGTGGAAAGGGGTTTGGGGTCCTGGTGGGCAACAGGGTCAATAGGAGTGACCAGTGCGGTGCTGCTGTGGGAGGGAAAGCCTTGAGAAAAGAAGGTTTAGGGGAAACCTTATCAGTGTGTTCCAGTATTTAAAGGCTGGCTACAAAGAAGATGGAGACTCCCTTTTTACTAGGAGTTGCATGGAAAAGACAAGAGGTCATGAGTACAAGTTGCTCCTGGGGAGATTCCAATTGGACACAAGAAGAAAATTTTTCATAATGAGAACAATCAGCCATTGGAATAAGTTCCCCAGGGAAGCAGTGAATTCCCCAACGCTGGACACTTTCAAAGTTCAGCTGGACAGGGTGCTGGGCCATCTTGTCTAGACTGTGCTTTTGCCAAGAAAGACTGGACCAGATGATCCTTGAGATCCCTTCCAAACCTGGTATTCTGTGATTGAAACCTCTTTTATTTTTCCTTTTTTTTTTTTTTTTTTTTTTTTTTTTTTCCAGTGTTAAA